AGCGATACACACGTGTGCTCCCCACGGGCTCTTCATCGTAAGCCATGATCTATAAGGTCTCCCGAATCCGTCCACCTCACAGAAGAGAGATACTTCTGGTCTCGGTGGGCATTCACCTTTTTAAAAAATAATAATCAAGGCTATCTCTACTCATGTTATTGACGACGAAGGAATTACGACGATGGGTCGAGACGACCCATACATATCCCACATCGAGTCGTACCTCAAGCACTCGGCGCTCAGGCAATCACGGCACGTATGCAGGCACGCACACACACATGGTTGCAGCCTGTGCTTATAAGCAGCTTTCCTCTTAAGCCACTTAAGTGAAAAACTAATACCATTAGTTTCCTATCCAAAAACAAGTTTTATTTTCACTGAAAGTGTTTTATGCAACAAGTCACGGAGTCCCTGCCAACTCTTGTCTGTGTTTATTTTACATTCTGATCCACACGAAGGCAAGATATATACCAGGACTATGCAATTTGTCTTATTTTTCTTCTTCCAATTGTGCTTTCAGGGCCGTGTCGTGTAAAGATGAAGGCATTTTTATCCGAAACTCTCGGAGCGAGCATCGTAATATCAGTCAAGAAAGGCTCCAGAAGATGACACCACGGGACCACAACTACTTCTGAATGTCGCTTCAAATCAGTCTCACGCCCGAGACATGACGGCATATTGCATGATTGTTCAACACATGACAGGCCAAAATGTTGCCGTCAGAGTTGAAATATACCTGAATAGGTGGGAAGGGGGGGGGGCATTGTGAAGGGACTCGTGAGTAGGCAGCGAACCTCGTTTAATGCCAAGTTACTGGAGCCCCGTTCATAATGACACGGCCATTTTGAACCGGGCTCCAATCACATGACGGTCGTGGCCAATGGTACGGCGATCATGAACGAGTTGAGAGTGACGGGCACATACCCGCCTGAACCTAGAATCTCATCGGTGCCAGCTCAGTGTCTCTTGGCAAGGCGATGATTAACTCTGACCCAACTCATGGGTCTGTGCCTCCTTTAAATTGCTTAATTTCATGGGTCTGTGCTCTTAAAGGTTGCCTGCTGTGAACAAAGTGTAGGTTTTGCTGCGTCTGAGCTCTAACAAAGTTCTGAAAGGAAAAGCAGCGATGATGAGCAGCAGCAACCAGGTCATAAAGGAGAGTCTCTCGTACAGGTTCAACTCCCGATGCTAACACATAGCAAAACGTTTATTTCAAAATTATATTTTCAGTTAGGCCATGTAATTATCTGACAAAGTGTGTTATTTTGAACCTCTACCACCCAATAAAGTCAAAACAAATGGAATTGCCACTAGTGCAAGTATTTAAGGCACCGATTATAATTATTAACAATATCATGCCAGCTCACCGGTAGGTTGAAGAACAATTTGAACAATACAATTTTCCAATAAGAGAATCGTTCTTTGACTTACCGCTAAACTGAACCGATCAAAGTTGGCACGCTAAACTCTTGTAAACACGTGACAATTTGTGGAATTTTGTGACGTCTGCCGGCCGAGTCGGCAGATGTCACAGGGATTCTTAGCTCAGGTAAATAAACTTTTGATTCTGAATGTTTGGCTATGCTGGGTGGTCGAGGGTCTCGGCAACACAAATTGTTCTCGGATAATTACGTGGTCTAAGCCACATTAGAATTATGACCCATAATATTGGCTTGCGAGAAGCTACGTGTGAAGGTTCATTCATTTCAGCACCAAATAAACAGCACACAGTCGTGAACGCAACTCGAGCTGTAAGCACCAGCTGCAATGTAATGACAAGTCACAATGTACTGCAGGTAGATAGGCAGGTAAAGAATACACAAATGCCATCGCGCTGCATATTAAATTGGCGTCAAAAAGGGAATGTGAAAGGGCGAGAGGAAGCTGCTACGTCAGGGTGCACACACATGGTGCAAGTTTTCATGAAGCCTCGACTTTGTCAACCAATTCCAATTTTAAACATTAAGAAACTAGGTTGGCAGTTTCGTGTAAACAAATTTTAAAAAATACACACGATCACTAACACTGCCTAATGTATTTGCTCGTATGCAGCGGTGCTCATGAAAAAGGTGGTTACGTTTCTAATTTCTGAGTTTGTGATATTGCTAAGTCCACGGAAGGTCTTGCTTTTTCCATTGTCCAGTTGGTACAGATGATTAGTTGCTCAAAATTTGATACGTGCGGTAGATGCATGACTTTTTCATCAACATTTCCGAATCGCGCAGGTGTGACTTGGCGTGAGAGAGTATGGCCGCTTGCAAAGGGTGCTAAGAAATCCACGGCAGAACAGGGTCAGCAACTTGCAAGTTTGGAATAGAACGGGGCACGGGCGTGTGCAGGGCGCAGATGGCCAGGTTGCACCATTTGAGTGGAGCCCAGAGGTCAATGACCAAAGCGAAGACCTAAAGCCAGATGCTGGTGGTGATTAGACCGTAAGAGCAGCTCCTGGAGGCCAAGTGTCAAATTCACAACAGTCGTGGTCCGTGGCAAAAGGACGGATGTGATGGTGGCATCAATGGCATTAGCCGGTACGACTTAATATTTAGTTGCGATTCAATCAATCAACCTAACTCGATGATTAAGGTCGGGCTCGAGTCAAATTCAGGTGCCCTTTTCCTACCTGGAATTTGCTTTGGATGTGACCAGTGCAGATGTCGCATCAATACGTCGTCTCATCGAGATTTTTGGACCAACACAAGCGAGTCACGATATTGCCTGCCGTGATTTCGCTAGGATATCCACGTCAGCTCACTCGAAAGCAGATCGCTATGTGCGTACGCCTCTTTAATCCTCTGGGCACGAATTCCCTGATACCAGAGCATTCACAGTAGGGACATAGCGAGGTTCAGGGTCTCTGAAGCAAAGGACCTTTTTGACACACAACAAACACGTGCCGGTTACAAGGTAATAGTGTGGCTTGGTACGCTGCCAAGTCACCGCACAGGTAGCTTCTTCCGATATTTTAAAAATAAAATACGACAAACGCAAAAAAATACACTTTACAGTAAATGTACAGAGGTAGCCACGACACGGTGTTTTGTTTTTTTTAAGTAACAAAACCACTCTGTGGTTTAGGGTTTTCGCACTTCAGTTCGGATGGCACAGACGGACCCGACCGGGATCCCCTACGCAAGAGCGGTCATCAAAACACACGGCAAATGAGCCAGCACCGGATCCAGAGATGGGGTGGGGTAGAGATTTCCTGAACCCCTAGAATGCATGCCATCCCTCCATAAAAATGGCTTAGTCCACAACTCATGTCCAGCATGTGCACGTAACCCACTGTGGGCAGTGCAGGTGGGCCATATGCATCTTTATGTAGGGGTGCTTTTATCATATTCTTTTGGTTCAGTGAACTCCATCCCTTGGATCCGTAGCTGAAAAACAGAGGCACACACCACCTTGTACAGCGGCTCTCCCAGACCCACGGCAAGGTCCCAGATTTACGGGGTAGGGGGCTAAGATGATGGAATGAAATAAGGTACGATAAAATATATAGTAGGCATGTAACAATCCTTCATTTCGATTATTAAAATTAATTTCTATGCTCTCGATTGCGCAAATTTAACCCTGCGTGTAAATATCGGTCATTTACAATTCATGCAAAGTACACGCAAAATTATACATTTAAGCTCATGGCTAATGAATGATGCGGAACAACCGAGAAACTACAAATAACGAAAATTACAAACGACACAACGAGGACTCCATCGTTGAGTCGAATCGTGAACCCCGAATCATGACAATTCATAGAATCACAGGGGGGGTGAGAATTGTTACATGCTGTAAAAAAAAATAGATGACGTACGCCTCAAATGAAACGTTTAAAAATATAGTAAAAAAAAAAATACATTATTGTCATGGATAGGCATTGAAGGAACGTGTGAAAATGTGAAACCTGCCAGGAGTCTGCAAGGGCCGTTTGACCAAACAAAGCACTAACAAATGGAATACACGGCATATAAAAAGGACACAATAAAATATATAATGTAGTGTTTAACTCAATAAGCTACGTGGGTTTATAAATAAAAGATGCATACGCTTCGCGCACTTCACGATTTAATGGCACCATCGCTTACTAAGCGATGGGTCAGAATAATAAAGTTACTTCAACGCAGCGGGAGGGAAGGCTAAAAGAAAGTTTAAAACTCTTGCTCCACAGCTTGGCTCCAAGGCCCAGCTCACGTGTAACCACTTTCACGGTGCAAATTTGCGGCAAGACCGTCGCCGTGTCGCACCGTGCAATGGTGACGTGGATCGTCACGCTGGGCGTGCACTCAACGGCCAATCAGCAATGACTCTGCCGTTATATCCAACACGACACGAAGCTACAAAGTGGGAAGTTTGCTCTGCGATTGAACGGCGCTTCTCGGAAGCTTATCAAGACACTTTGGCTGCCGGGTGTGGAGGATCCCGCGGATCCTTTTGTAGAAATCGCGACGCGTGACCAGGACGTTATCTGCGACTCCTCTGACTGCAGGAGAGGCAAGCGAGGACGTAGGTGCAGTTTGTAAGGACTACCGTCGTCCTCTTGGCAGCGGATTGGCGAGGAGGGGGTCCCATGTAAACTTTGTAACGCGCGTCAAAGCGACGCACCACACCGGGGCACGAAGCCAGGCACGAGTGGAAAGGCTCTCGCAAAAAAAGGCAAAGTACACTTATGGATAGCAATTTGGCTGACACGGCCAGCAATGAAATGACATTAACACAAGATAAGATGTCCACACACATTTTTTTGAAAATTACTGCGAAAATAAAGTGATCAAAATCACCGTTCTCTCCGCCCCACGTCCCCCAAAAAGTTGCCGTCTCGGTCCCATTTGATTTTGCGCGTCAATTAAAATTTCCTTCCGTTTTTAGACATTTTCATTCTTCAAACGCCAAGGTGAAAGTTCACGCAGACGAGCACCAGGTTTGCACGTTGCACCGTTCCTTCCGTTTCAGGTCTCCAAATGTCGCCGAACCGCTTCTCCTCTACTCGTCCGTGAAAATACGGAGTGTGCGAGCGAGCTAATGGGCGAGCTAACGGGCGATCGGGCGGCGGTGGGGTGGCTATCAATGGGTGAGGAGGGGGGGGGGGCAATCGCCCTGCGAGCCTGTAGGCGTGTCCTCCGGCGTGGCTGACGCGCGCCGTCATGACGGCTCCGGGTCGGCACTGCACCCGAGCGCCTCCAGCTCGCTGCTGATGCGCGACATTATGCGGTCGAACTCGTTGGGGTCCTGGAACGGCGCTGCCCTCCGTGCTGTCGTCCGCGCCGTTGCGCGGCAGCGCCGGGCCGCCGGCGGACGTGCGCTTGCAGCGCCCGAAGCTGTCGGTGATGATGCCGCGGCCGTCCTTGATGCTGATCGTCTCCAGGAAGCTCTCAAAGTGGTGGCTGTCCTTCTCTGGGATGAAGTCCCGCATGCCTGCGGGGACGGAGACGCGCAAGGAAGCGTGCGGCTTTAAACGTGATGTAGCCGCTTGCTTGTTTGGGTATATCGACGGTGCGTCAAGGGATGAAGATCCATTTGGAACTTGCGCAGAACAGTGCAACCCTGCACGTTATAAAAGTAGTTCTTGCATGGATATCCAAGATGGATGGATATCCAAAAACTACTCTTTTAGATCCCTCCAAGTGCCCTCTGGCACCTAAAGAAATGTTCATCGCATGACGGTCGAACCAACATTGTGAATTTTCAGAGCTGGAATTTAGCAAAATTTGGTGACCACGCTGAGATTCAACTCACCGCACTGGAGAACCCAGATGGTAATCATTGGAAGCTGCTGTATTTGAATCCAGCATTGTAGATGTGTCAGCTCGAGATCTCTGATTGTTGAGCCACCTGGCCACCTCGACGCAATACTTAATAACAAGAGGCTCAGATGTGTGGTTGACTCTGGGCAAAGGGCACTAGATCCTGTAATCGTTCTGACATCCTTGGATCGAATTTTAAGATTCAACAGCCCATGATTAAATCCGGTTCTCAGGTGTCGCGATTTGAACAACAAACAAAATGATGCACCCTTGCAAAAAAAATCATCAATGCAGTACAGCATATTCACCAAGCAATATAAATGTACTGTATATTAAATCGTGCACCGTGTGCACAAAAAGCTCCTAGTCCTTAACCATTATGCAAAACCACCTGCTCCTGAAGAACTGCATTGCCGTTATCCTGTCTAAAGTCAGCATCAATAACTGGAGCAAACACGCTTTCCCGGCCTGCACCAATGTTTGTATTACAATGGGTTTTTCCCGTCGTTTGTAGATTTGAACCACCGAGTGCCGCTGTCATCCGTACCCAGCAGCAGGAACTTGCGGCTCTCCCCGTAGAGCTGCCGCAGATTCTGGCAAAAGTCCTGGATGGAGGCGCCTGTGCGGTACGCGTGCAGCAGCTGCGCAAACTCCTGGATCTCCAGCGATGACAGCTTCGTCTGCAGCTGCACCGCCGCAGACGAAACGCGGGCGAGACATGCGAGCGTGCGCGTGAGCGGTTGCACCGGAGCGCGCTCACGTGCACGCTTGGCAGCTCTCGAATGCTGTGCACCAGCGCTCATTTACTTACCAACATGCTTGCTCATTCACCCCTTGAATGCTGACGCGCTCGGTCACTCACGGACACACTGAAATGCCCACAAATGCTCACAAACGCCCGCACTTACTTGCATACCAACAATTGCTTACGAACACATACGCTAATTTGATTACTTTCGTTCACTGCCTCTCGCCAACGCTCACCCGCTCTCAATTACTCACTCAGGCTCACTCGTGCTCAATTCTCGACCGACAATCGTTAATTTATGTTCACTTACTCTAGCGCGATCACTCAGTCAAACTCAATCGCTCTCTCGCGTGAGGACAACGCAGCACAGACACAAGACATCACACCACGTACACGTGTATACAACACCATCAGCCATACAATAGACACATTGATCACAAATACAACATGCACACATAACAACTCTAAATGTATCTTCAACCCGAACACAACAGCAAAGCATCACCCAAACACAGACGACCCAATTAAAAATGAAGGTAAAGATCAGGTCTTGAAATTTCTTGTATTTGTACCAAATGCCGCTGTGAGAGATTGAAAAGTCCAATGGGCTAACCATCACACCACGGTGGCACTCACCGTGCTCATGTACTCCTGCAGCTGGTCCTTGCAGACGAGGCTGAGGTTGCTCTCGCTGAGCGTCTTGCTCTGGCTGCGCCGGTGCGTCTTGTCGGACGCCTGTGACGCATCGCAGCACGTGTCCTGCGAGAAGCTCGCCCTGCTCGCGCGGCAGAGAACAAAACAGCTCATCGCCCATGCCTCGCGTGCAATCTGATCAACTTAGAGGGGGCTGCACTGGGGGGGAAAAAAAAAACCTGACAACCCACGTAATACATTCCATGGCAGCGTTCTTCACTAAGAGGGGCGCCACTTTCGCCGATAAGACATCAGCTTGAAGGCCACCACACATTTAAATCCACTGGGGTTTGACAGCACGATGGGGGGGGGGGGGCGTTTTCACATCTGAGTATTGTCGGGGGCTGCACGTCAGGGGCCGCACTAAAGGCCACCAGGAGGCCACCAGTGCGGCCTTGCGATCCATTTCACGGGATCCTCCTGCGTTTGCCGTCACAGGTCTATATCGGAATCGATCGACGACTCGATCTGACGCGTCACCGAGTTCTGTCGGCCGTTTTTTATTCCACCCTTTAGCCACCGCCGTAAGGGGCAGCACCAACGTGGGAAGCCGTTTGTGGGGCAGTTCCGCAGTCGCACCGTGGAGGTGGCGCGTACGGAAGAAGGGTGCCAAGAAGTTAGAATTCCAAATAAATCGACCATAGTTCAGGAAGCGTGATATTTTCTTTTCATAGCCAATGCTAACTTCACCTAAACATTCTACAATCGACCTTTTATTGTATCATCTCCCTACAGATGGCCACACAATGAACTTAATTATTCACTCGCTGCATGTAATTAATCAGCCTACTCTGAACAAAAGCCTTCTTTTTAGACAATGATATTTTGTTGGTTAGCAGATTATTAAAGGGCACCCCACAACACTACTCATTTGGGGGGGGGGGAGAGGGGTCAGAAAAAAGATGCAGGGATTGATCACTCTTCTGTTTGTTTGCTTTGCCTCATTTGGTCCACTGGGCGAAATTAAACAGCATATTATTTGCATATGCATTGCATGAAATGTATAAAATCAATGGTCACACACACAATTTTCTGCAGACAGTAGCTTCCACTGCGAGGGGACATTAACTGTACGGGATACCAACGCCAACGCGGGCACCAACACTGACCAATTAAAACAAACAATCTGTTTTTGGCGAACATCGCTCTCCCTTCTTGACATGGACACCTGCGAAGGCAAGCAAGGAGCGAACGTTAAGTTCTGTCTGTGCTTCGAGGCATTGAGCAAACTCACAGGGAGCTGTCAGGGTCAACGGCCGGCTTCACGTCCTTGCTGGAGTAGGCTACAAAACACAAGAGGGAACACGCGCGCACGTGTGCACATCAGACAAACGACCGCAAGATCGCGCGGGGGATGATGCGGGCAGGAGCCTTCCTTCACGAAGCCGCTGTGTGAATCCAGACAGAAGAGCTCGGCGGCACAACCGATTGCCGCGCGGCCGGTCATGGGCACCACATACAGATGGGGGAGATGCACGTTTGATTGAGCCAGATAGGGGTTACTACTGTAAGGAATGGCTCAACATTTAATCAGAATGAAGAATATTTATCCTAGAGGAATCTGAAGCTCTCTTTGAACGATGTCCAGTTGGGGCGGAAAATGTAATCATATGGCTGAACACGTTAAGGTATAGTTACAGGGCATGGCTAGGAATGACCGATATTGGATATGCATAACTAAGCAAGTCAGCGCATGGCTCGGGGTGTCAAAACATGACTGAGTGTGTCAGGGCAAGGCCTAGCGTGCCGAGGTATGGCCAAACGGGCGTGCACGTGTGCGTGCGTGTGCACCCCGGCGACCCGAGTTCGATTCCCGCTCATGCCCCAACACCAGTGACGATTATCTGAATCGGTCCTGGGCCTCCTCTTTAAATGAGTGCCTAGTGCGATGTGTAAACATTGTCACTAGGGAAACGAATGCGGTTGGGCGAGGTGCTGGCCACCCACCCACCCCCGTCGTGTGCCACGCCGGCCTTCATAGATGCTCGCGAACAGCACTTGCCTTAACAGTATGTTGCAGGCTATACGGGGGATCTTTGTCTTTGTGCGTGTGCATGTGTTCTCACTGAAGGTGCTGCTGTGCAGGGACGAGTGCTTGGTTGGCGTGGAGGCGACGTCGCAGATGACACGCTCCAGGAAGTCGATGGTGGACTCGGTGTACACCACCTGGAACACCTGGCCGATGAGGGCGCACAGCTCCTCCGCCGCGTGCTGCCACACAAGAGAAGAGAGGGTGTTAGAGCACGGCCCACCGAAGTAGGCATCACAGAGCTACATCCAAGATCCCTCCAAAGTGACGTTCGATGATTCCGTACATTGTCACGAAATCGGCGTCGCAATTCCATTCTGGAAACGGGAGTTGTTGGCCACGTTTGCGTTTTTTTTTCTTTCCCCCAGCATCATTTGCGCAGTTTAGGTCGCTCCGTGAGGTTCACTGTGACGCCGGCACATCGCAAGGTACCGATGGAGCGTGAGAATGGAGCGTGAGAATGGACGTTAACCGACAGAGCGACACGTGGCCGAACAGCCAACACGCTGCGTGCCCGCTGGGGCCGGAAAGGCCGGGGGGCGATGCGCGACGTGGCGCTGCCATACACTAAAAACAGACTGCGACGGAATCACCGATCATGCAGATATTAGCCAATCAAAAAAAAAAGGAGGCATGTCACACGACGCTATGCTGACCAATGGGATTACTCGATCCACGGATCGATTGGCAACGACTCGACACGGAAGATTAAACCCGCAAATTACGATCGCTTTTAGAGCTGGCTGCCGAATCGACTGAGCATAATCGATGCAATTAATCTCGAGGCACGATCCACAACACCACATATGGGCAAAGACACGCCCCTTCGGGCAACACCACGCCTACTTTCTTCCGCATATGGGCAGATCTCAGATCGTTGATTTCGTCGCGTGCCAGATTTTGTTGCATTGCAGCGCCGTCACCTTGCTGTCGACGGCCATCACCACCAGGTTGCAATTATGCTCGGAGGGGGGGCAGCCGGTGGCGTCGAGCTGGGAGGAGGAGCGCGAGCGCTGCGTCCTCAGCGACATCTGGTCCATGGCCTCGCCAGCGCCGTGGCCTACGTTCAAACAAAGACAGAGTTAAAGGTTCCCACTTAAAAAGCCTTGCGGTGGCGAGATGTTATCTTCCTCGCCTGGTGCGCAGAAGGTCGTGGGTTCGATCCCGGCTCCGACGCCTGTATATTTGGAGTTTGCGGTGTGTCTCTATCTCCACATTTAGAAACATGCATTTAGATGATTTCGCTGATATAAATTTCCACATGATAAGCCACTTCATTGACCTATCATTTGTGGCCCAGGTCGCTTCTGAAAAATAGCTAATAGCTCAGTGGGCTTTACCTGGTGAATAGGTACCACTTGTGGTGTGTGTGACAGTTCACATACCTAAGACAAATGCAAACATCCCCCCCATATAGCCTTCATAGATTTTGGGGCAAGTGCCATTAGCGAGCACCAATACATACAGGCACATGCTCATACACATGCAGCTAATGATAAAGATCCCCGTGTAGCCTACACAAAATGTTGGGGCAAGTGCTATTAGCACCTATTAAAGTCGGCATGGCACACGAGGAGGTGGTTTAGTTAACACCACACACGGGCAATTGTGTCTCCCCAGTGCTGTTTTTTTATACACCGCATCAAGTACTCATTTGAGGTTGAGGTGACAGAGGGGGAGGCTCAAGACCAGATAAGATAATGCTTGCCACTGATGTCAGCCGTGGCCCGGTGGCGGGGGTCTTTGGCAGGAGGGGACCCCTAAGAATGAAGGTTGCAGGGCTATATGGTGGACAGCAGAGAGCAGTGCAAGCAAATCAATTGTTTTACCATACTTGTATGCTCTCCTCCCTCACCAACTTACACCAATATTGCGTTATAAAGTAGGGTCAAACAACCCCCACGACTCACATGGCATGTGGACGGGCTCTCATCCAGCAGTGAACTGAAAAAAAGGGCTATAAGCGTACACGTACAAATCCGAAATGTATCGCATTACCTCACATCGTTTTGGGTCGCGACACCGTTTGCATGCGATTTTATGAACACCGTCGTCGCCCGTAAGCATCGACTCCCAGCCCTCCCGTGCGCCCCCCCCCCCCCACGCGTTCCTTCCCTCCCCCCACCACATGCCCCCTCCCCCCCGCCACCGCACGCCCCCCACCTGTCTTGATGACGATGAGGTGCTGCGCGTCGTCGCACACGTAGGAGAGGGCGGCGATGTCGTGGATGTGGATGCGCGCGAGCAGCTCGTCCGAGTCGCGCCCGCTCAGCCGCAGGTTGTACGCCGAGAGGCTGAGCACCGCGTCGTGCTCGGGGCCCGGCTGGTGCGGGAGGCTGTGCACGCGCTGCACCGCACACGTCACGTCAGCGCGCGTTGCTCGTCGTCGCGTCACCGCCGCGGCGTGGCGCGCAAAAAACGTGACGCCGCGTAGCCATATTTTCTGCTGCCGTTATAGCGCGCTTTGGCGTGGTGTGGCATGAAGTCGCACTGTGCTGTGTGGTACAGCACGGTGCGGTACTGTGCAGTGCGGTGTGGCAAGTTGCTGTGTTGTGTCGTATGTCATCTTTTGTGCGGTGCGCTGTGGTGTACCCGTGCCGCGTCCAGAAGCTTGAGGATCTCTGTGCGGCTGGAGGGGTCCAGGCACCCGGACACACCCGATAGGGAGCCCAGGAACTGAGGGACACAGAGGAGGGACCAGGCAATCGTAAGCTAAAAAAAAACGATCAGTGCCAGATTTGCCACCTACCACTGCAGTATTTGGCCTCACTTCACGTGTAGGCGAATGATCATGTATACATAGTTTGTTGTCCCTGCCCCGCACCTCCAATTAGCGCAGTTCGCTACGAGTCACACTATCTCCCTAGACAGCAACGGGGCGAACAGCCAAGGCGATGAGTTTCGACCACGTGATCAAGAGGCAGGAACTGGCGCCGGCGTGCGGTGTCGTTAATTACCCAGGGATTTGGAGCTCAGCTTCACACAGGGGAAGTGGAACCTCCCCCCACCTTGGCAGGAGCCCATGCCTGCTGGCCAATCTCAATTATCCCAATTATCACGTCTCTCTCTCTCTCTCTCTGTGCCCTCTGGTGCGCGGACCGTAGTGCGGAAAAAGCTTCCAGTGCCACTTCTGCTACCATGTTGTCACAGTCAAGGAGAATAGACAGGCCATAAAGAGGACAGACACACAGACAGACCCACAGATAAGACACGGATAACCACAGACAGTCACAGACTGACCGACATCGCCGATACTGAACCTAGCCCCGCACTATGTGGGTCGTCGGGGTGAACGAGGGGAGAATAGACACGGGAGCGTAGAAGCGCAGCACAACAATGGATATTGCTGCAGCCGCCCTCTCCTGCCCACAGCCTAGTAATACAGCGTGCCAGCCTTTGACAACCTGCCGTGCAAGGTGGTCGCACCCATCCTAGCACTGCCGATGCTCGACCCCGCCGAGCTTGCGACGCTTGACGAGATGGGGCACATTCCGGGATGATCAGACCAAAGGCCCATACAGTTCATATTCTCTGGATTATAAGGGACACTCCTTTCCCTTGCATTTTAGATAAAACGTTGGGGGTGTGTCTTGTAATCCGGTAGGTGTTTGCATTATGACCAGATTTGAATAACTCTATTGACCAAGGTTCGGAGTATACATCTTACTTTCCGGTGCTTATTATAACCCAGAGAATATGGCGTCATCCGAATAACTTTTTAATAATACGACTGGAATGTTATCAACCTGTGCAACTTCCTTCTCTGTGAAAAAGAAAATCCATACGTACAAAATACATAAATACAAATGTATATGTTTCTATTTTCAATGACACTTCTAATTAACAGGAGGACAGAACCAGGACGCACGGGATCAACGCGGTAGGAACGACGGCACGACGGGCGACGTGGACCCACCTTGGCCTCCTTCTCCACGTAGTCGTTGAGGAGCAGCTCGGGGTTGACAGTGTACGCGGGCGGGGCGAGCGCGACCGTGTGCAGCGGCCGTCGCTCCGCCAGCCGCTCCTGGGACTTCTTGTCCTTCTTGGCGGCGGAGCGCTTGAACGGGGAGAAAATCCCTGGCTGTCACGGCACAGACAGGCGGGGGTGGGGGTGGGGAGAGGGTGAGCGACGTGCTCGATTTCAACAATCCACTCTGCCACCGGCGGTAATGTTCACCGCAGGGTGGCAAAACCGACATTTTTTATTCCACACAGATGGAATTTAGCCAAACTAAAGCGCAGGACCAAGTTGAATGTAACGGGTTTTTGTGTGTGTGGGGAGTCATTGGTGACCTAGGCCGAGACCTTCCACTCGCTACACTTAAGAACCAGGTTTCAATCACAGGCGGCAGCTTTGCATTCAAACCCCCAGATCTCAGCAGTCCCAGCTAAAAAGGTCAAAGTAACGGGCAAATCCGTTACTTTGACCTGTGACAACTGCCGTCCTCAAACACCCCAAAATCGTATTAACAGCTGTGAGCCATTGATGGAGACAACACGGCGAGGGCAAGCGACGACGTGAACAACCACCAACGAACTGCCACTGCAGCACTCACTTTGTGGGACACCACGGAGGGGCGAGGAAGGCCTGCGATTGATCCTTAACCGGGACTTTCGGCTCTCAAGCCACGCGATGACGAGGCGCGCATTCGAACCACTTGCTTCGTGAGGCCAGAGCAGATATCTCGCTCGCCGGCAAGCGCCCGGGGGGTCACGACACCTTTGCGGCGCCGCGTTCTTTATAAGGTCAGCAATAGTGAACGACGCGATGACCTTTTCACGTGAGAAGATTGTCTCACGCGCATCACCGTTATGAGCCACCCGCATTTTGCCCCCGAAGATGGTAACACACTTTCTGCCCTGGTTCATGGCCTGACTGCACCAACAGGCCAGCCACACAAAGTATTTTCAGTGGTACCTCGGTTCACGTTTTTAATCTGTTCCACGAAAACTACTGTTAACGGAAATAACTGTGAATCGACTACACTTGTAAGTTGAAAAGTAAGTAAAAATCACTGAGTCTGCAAGAGAGCTGTTTCCACTGCCAAAACAGAAAATGTAATATAAACAAAGCCAGTTGAGGTCTAATTGCTCATAAATGGGCATCGCTGATTGGCTGAGGCATGGGTCAGCCCCATCTATGAGCGCTCAGATTGGCCAAAATCGGCCCACCATCCATCCGCAGTCGGCAAGAATGCGTACCACTCTAGGCGGTCAAAGTAATGTGAAATTTTCACAGCCGGCTGATGGCCATCAACAACAGAGATTAACTCAGCCTCTCTCCCTCTCTCTCGTTTGAGCAGAGATGCATTGACTTGTAACGGAAGAATTCAATTTATTCAAACGACGACCAAGGGTGAGCTCACCACAATCCAGTACTAATTTTATTGACCGCAGCAGCGGAGATGATGGGGCGTGCCTTCTGCGAGTCGAGCTCTCTAACCGCAGTGGCTACCCGGCCGGATATCATCGAATATAGCAGCAGATACTCCGTTTAAATGGGCCCAGTATGGCTTTCATCCAAGACGAGCATTTTTAAACGCATCAATATTTCATTGTCAAGAGACCCTAATGCGCTCTCACACGGTGTACAGGCGAAATCATACGGCACGTTGGATTGTAATTGCGGATTCTCGCGGCCATCGAGCCCCCCGTGAGCAACCCAGGCTCTGCTCGTGCCCGGGTTGCTCGGGGGGGGGGGGGGGGGGGGGGCTCGTGACGCGTCAGAGACACTGGGTCAGTGTCGTTGAGAACGTCGGTTCGGAACCGGGTTCCGGTCGCCCGTGATTAACCGGGGCTTTCGCACGCAGCGAGATGATGGGACTCGGGCCTGGTCACTGATGATTTGTGAATTAAAAAAAAACATATCCCTTCAAATGTTGTCCTTTACTTGGTTTAAATGACAACTATTTTTTCTTTTTTAGCAGGTAAGGCCCACTGAGCTCGAAAGCTCTTGTTAAAGAGGGACCTGGCCACAAATTATAGCTCAACGAAGTGGCTTATCACGTGGAAATGGAATTTTTTAAAATTGAAAATGTATCTTGTTCCAGCTCTGAGAATGAAAGCATTTATGTTTGTCTTGTGACAAATACTCTTTACAGATGATATCCAGGTACAACCCCTAGCGTATAGATGAGATGCTTTTTAAGGGGATTTAAAATTAATTATCAGGACACCCTTCGGAGCTGTTCATAAGCTCAAGGTGATGCACGGTAACACGGCCCAACGGTGGCGCGTTTGAACGCACCTCCAAGAGGTTCTCGGTTCGAATCCACCAGGTCGCCCCGGTGAGTATTGCAGCTGTATTCGCAGCATCCGCTTCACAGTGGTCATTAAAGACCCCGTGTCGTCTTTCGAAGATGAGTTGGCCATTGCGTGCCGGCGTTATGTTCCAAATATGCCAAGTTTGAAAAGTGCCTCTGACTTAATTGAAAACATAGCAATCGTCGCTCCCTACTCTGCAATAACTTGCAGGACCATGCTGAAAGAGTCGTGAGACTCCGTAAGTGTTTCCTGAGTAAACAAGGATAATGTTAAATGCTCGTCGTGTTGATAACAGTTATATGAGTATATCCACATTGTACTATTACACAACAGAAACAAAACTGGCAGGAAACAATTGTCATCAACAAAAACACCTCCAGAGACCCCAAAAGAAGACAAGAAGCAATCCCACGCACCCAAACAAACCCCCCCAAAAATCCCCCACATAGCTACAAATAGGCTGCTGAGCAAGAGCCGTTAGCGAGCACCTATTACGGTCGACATGGCCCACGAGGGTTTGGCGTAGCCAACACCACGCCCAGCCGCCTTGATCTCGCAGCACTGATGTTTATACACAGCATCAAGCACTCATTTAATGTTGAGTCAATCTATCGAGAGGCCCAGTTCAGATAACACTCTCCACTGCTGGTAGCTAGCCATGGCCAGGAATCGAGCTCAGGCCACCGTGCTCGTAGCGCAATGCACTAAACACTCCACCGCTACTCTCCCACACCAACAGCTGTCGAGTTTGCTCTCATTTCCTAAGCGCGATAAACGCAAATGACAGTTGCTGCATGCAAATGTTCCTCCCCTGTAGATACGTTAATTAATGATCTCCGGGGATGGTACCGGAGATGCGTCTAAAAACACGCGCACACACAAATCCCAAGAACCTCGCTACTACACAAATAACCCAATGTTTGTGTCCGCACGGCAATGGGGGTCGCACATTCTCAACAGCGTGTTCTAATCCGAGCGTTTACATCCCAGTTGTACCCTGAATGTGCTATCAGTGCCATGTAATGTGACAAAGTGCACACGAGTCCATCGCCCCATGTTGTAGCATGGCCCATAGAAGTAGATATTACCGAATTCCTTCTGAGATCACTTTAACTGACCTGCTTTAGCCACCGTCTAGCAGATGTACTTTCCTAAATGCCCCACTACAGAGAAAGTTTTAGGCAGTCAAACAGATATTTTTATGTTTTGGAGAAGAAATTTTCCAATTAAATGAATGCTTCAGATGACAGTTGCGTATCATCACCAATACATGAATCAGAATCTGTAATTTTTTATTCCATGAATTGCCACAATTGAACATCAACATTCAGTTGGAAGGCTCAATTCCGTTCTGAACACTTTTGTGAATGTAGCAGCTACTTGTGGCTGCAGAGGCCAAGTGAACCCATTATGTACAAAATAAATGAATGGAAAAACATCAATCCTTACACACGTGAGTTGATGCCTGCATCACGAGCTGATGGATCGATATCGACAAATAAATCAATTCACCACGAAGACCCTCGTAAAATTAATAATCCTTTGCGAAACTTACCTTCCTCTGCGGCATGCCACTCCTAAACCCACTCAGATCGTACATATCCACACGGCTTCGCAAAACCTCCCTTCCTCGGAACAAAAAATTCTAAACGAAAAGAAAAACGTGCAAAAATCTTCTGGCGGCGTCGATGCCAGATCCGGGAGGAGGCTGCCGTGACCCTTCAATCCCTGCCCGAGTTATTGCGCCGCAAACGACGGGAAGGATCGGAGCTACATGTCGCACGCCGCGGCTGCAACCAGGATAACCGAGATTGGGCGGCCCGCTGGACGGGAGAAGCCGACTTGAGCGGGCCGAGAGAGCACGCGAGCGAGCAAGTGTGCACGCGAGCTAGCGCAGCACTGGGTTTCCTGCGAGGGGGGGGGGTGGGGGGGAGAACAAACAGCGGCAGCAGCCCCGGGGGCTACGGACGAGTGCTCCACCCAGGCTGGGCCAGGAAACGGGCTGGGGAAAATGGTACCGCATCCTGCTTCACAGCAGCGCCAAGTGCCGAGCAGGAGGTGCCTATATTTACTTATTTATTTCTGCAACATTTTTTATTTTGGAGTAAGAGGAGACATTTTTACCGGCAACCCCCCCCCCCCCCCCACCACCCTACCACCAAAATCACATCGTAACAGAAACAAGAATTAAATACAAACACCAAAAAAACTATCTGCACCGGTTGATTTTGTTCAATTCAATACACCAACAATGCAATTGAGACGAGTGCGAGTTCACAGTTCTGTGCAATCTCAAGAGGTCGATTCCACCCAGCAGCAAGGCCACGGCACCGCCTCATTCTTAAAATGCCTCCGCTCACTCCGCTATTCTCGTCTCACCGCATGGCCCACAATCGCTCTCCGCAGGGACGTATTTAGTGTCTGGGCAGGAGATCAAAAATGTGTTTCCCATGCACCTACACGCAGTGAGGTCACGCAGTCACCTGCCACACAAGAGTGTATGTCAAATCTCGACGCAAACAGGCCAGCGTGAAGGACAATGCCGGGCGGCGCTAGGAGGAGGGTCGCGGGCAAAACCCGGGGTGGATGTTTTCAACGTCTTCCTCCCGAAGACAATCCCTCGCGTTGCTCTGTGTCAGCAGCATTAGCGCAGGATTGGCAAATGGCTCGCCAGGGCGCCTTCCGAAAACAATCAAAGTGTTCCTTTTACAGCAAACACCCACACGCCCCTCCATCACCGCCGCCGCCGTCGCCGTCTCTGTGGGCGGTTGCCGAGCCGCGAGAGTCCGGTGCAAATTGGCACTGCGCACTCATTCA